GGGGTGGAGGGGGGGCAGGGGCATGGGGGGATGTGGAGGGGACAGGGCTCCCTCCCTTCCCGCTCTGACAAACTGGCCTTTCCTCTAAAACAGAGAGAGCCAAGCCTCCGCCATCCCATCCCCAAGACACCCTGATTGTGCCCAGCAATTCCTCAGAACAACCAGCTCAGAGTGCGAGGCCAGCACTGGTGTCACCAGGCCTGGAGCACCACGGCTCCTGCACCTGGGACGTGGCAACCCCAGGCACAAATCCAGGTTGGGTGGAGAATGGCTGGAGAGAGCAGCCCTGAGGAGAAGGACTTGGGAGTGCTTATGGACGAGAAGCTCAACATGAGCCGGCAGTGCGCGCTGGCAGCCCAGAGAGCCAACCCCATCCTGGGCTGCATCAGGAGAAGTGTGGCCAGCAGGTCTCGGGAGGGGATTCTGCCCCTCTGCTCTGCTCTCGTGAGACCCCACCTGGAGCTCTGTGTCCAGCTTTGGAGTCCTCAACACAGAAAGGACATGGACCAGCTGGAACAGGTCCAGCGGAGGGCCACGAAGATGCTCAGAGGGATGGAGCACCTCTGCTATGAAGACAGGCTGAGGGAGCTGGGGTTGTTTAGCCTGGAGAAGAGAAGGCTCCGGGGGGACCTTAGAGCGGCCTTTCAATACCTGAAGGGGGCCTATAGAAGAGCTGGAGAAGGACTCTTTGCCAGGAAGGGGAATGATAGGACAAGGGGAAACGGTTTTAAATGGGAAGAAAAAAGATTCAGATTAGATCTCAGGAAGAAATTTTTTACTCTGAGGGGGGTGAGACACTGGAACAGGTTGCCCAGGGAAGTTGTGGCTGGCCCATCCCCGGGAGTGGATGGGGCCTTGAGCAACCTGGTGTGGTGGGAGGTGTCCCTGCCCAGGGCAGGGGGGTTGGAACTCGATGCTCTTTGAGGTCCCTTCCAACCCAAACCATTCTATGATTCTATTACCCTGCACGTACCAGGGAGCTCTTCTCGGGGACAGGCTGAGCTGCTCGGGCCTGATCCCTCACCCCGTGCCCTGCTGCCACCAAGGTCCTGTGAGATCTGCCCAGCAGAAAGGCACTGGCCAGCGGGTCCCCACCGATGGCCATCTCACCAGCCAGCGTGAGGTGGAAAATGGCAGGGGGGTGGCGGGCAGGAGGGATCTGAAAAGAAGAAGATTAATCAAGGGGCTGTGCCTCTGCCTTCCTGTGATCTCAGGAACTGAACCGTTAAAGTGATTTATTCTTCATGGGGTAATTACATTCCCGCTTTCCCTCTTATCCGTCCTCTGATCTGTGTTCAGCTCTCAGAGGTGCACTCGGGAGCAAACGTGTGGTCCTTGATTCAGCGAGGAGATGTCCTGTCTGCCCTTTCTGTTTTCTGTGCCTTTGCATTTCTGTAATACACAAAGACGTGCTGTTTATATTGATTCAAAGGATCCAGACCCTTGTGTAGCTCAGGGATCTCGCCGATGAACCGCTATGGCCGGGCGCTGCTGTGGCACGTCGTGGCAGTGGTGTTACACCACTCATCTTGATCGAGAGCTTCCGACCTGGTTTTGTATCGTGTTATCAAATACCTGTTTCTGCTGCCTTACGTGCCAGCAGGTTTCTGCTGCATTTTTTAAAGCTGTGTTACCCTTCGCATGGACGAGTTTGGGAAGCTCCTGTAGCCACAGCTATGCTGGGGTTCAGAGGTGGCCGTCCTCATAGTCCCTTCTGGTGTCTGTCTGTGCACACAGGAATGAGTAGGAGCCTTTAGAGGAACAGTTCTTTTTCCTGTGAAATCTTTCTTAAGTTAGTAAAAACCAAGCATTAAATACAGGTGTATTCTCTTTTAAAAACACTGCATCCTTTTGTCTTCCACACCGTTTGCTCAGCACATTGAGTGCTCACACCCCCTTGGCTGGCCAAGCTGCTTCCATGTGTTTGAGCATCACACTTTTTACTCACAAACGTGATATCTGGACGCCTGCCCGGTCCCTGCTTGGTCCTGTTCAGCTTTTGGGTGCTTCATTCGGGCCGTAAACATTAGAGGGAGCTAAAGACTGCTGCCTGGGCAGCTGCAGGGTTGGATGCTTCCCATTTATTTATTTATTTTATTTGTTTATTTATTTTATCTGGCAGGTCCCATTTCAGAGCCTGGTTCCAGGGCAGGCAGGCACCAGCTGGATGGTCCCGCAGACCTTCAGCTCCAGGAGTGCTACTGGGAATGTCACAAAGAGGCCCCTGCCCAGCCCAGGAGGTGCAGGAACATCCAGCCCAATCCCTGCTGGTGGGGATGAAGATGATGGAGGCTGAACCATCTCCACCATAGCGTTCCCTGCTCCCAAATCCCAGCAAATCCACAGCTGGGCCATTCTCGAGAAACAGCAGCGTCTCCAAGGGCTTGCTGTGCCTGCCAAGGAGGATGTGTCCTCACACAGGGAGGAGATTTGATGCCCACCAGAGCCCTCCAGTTGGCCTGGACTCCTGTGAGTGGTACAGCACCGTGATCCCTCCTGATTCGACGCCGATCTCCCCAGCACCACCACCCTTCACCATCCTGTCCCTTCCACGGCTCGTTAGACAGATCCTATTTATTGGTAAAGCAGGATGAGTCGTATTGTGGCAGTAGCCAGAGGCTCAACCCAGGACCCGTGTGAAGGAACAAGAAGGGATAACACGGACAGCGTAGAAATCTGCACGTCGTATTGTGGCAGTAGCCAGAGGCTCAACTCAAGACCCATGTGAAGGAACAAGAAGGGATAACACAGTGTAGAAATCTGCATGGGACACTGTCACCTTGGCTCTGTGGGATGGGGCAGGGTGTTTTTACAGCCTCCCTGGACCAACACAGCAGCAATCAGTGTGTATTGGACAAAAGAAATACAGTCGAGGAATAGTGCCGTATGGGAGACTTTAACATCCCCAAAATAAATCTGAGAACAAACGCTCCTAAAAATGGCACGGCGCCGTTATTTCTGGAGCTGATAGCCAACGGATTTCTTCACAAACCAGGCACTCGGCAAAAGGCAGCGCTATTTTAGCTGGGGCAGTCACAAGAGGATAAAAAGCCCAACCACAGCGATGCCTCTGGGCGGGGGAATCGGTGTGAGTCGGTTGGTGTTCGATTATAGGTCTGGAAATAAAGGGTCTTGCTTGTGAGATACGAGCAGCTGGAATGAACCTGGTGGGACTGGAGCACTCGGTGTTCAACGGCAGAAGATACTGGGCCTTTCTTTACCGTGTAGAGGCAAAACAATACATTTGGAGTAAGTATTCCAAGGAAAAGCTGGGAATGCAGAGGTAGCTCTTACCTGACTGAGGTAAGCTCAAAGGAGTTACATTAAGATGACTTGAACTCCGAGGAGGTCCATGTGGCAAAGACACATCTTGGGTGTCAGCCGGAGGAGGACTAGAGCGGGACTTGCCAAACGCCATCCTTTAGCAATAAATCTTTATTTAAACGTTCAGCCAGGTGAGAAGATGAACCACAAGGTCCATGACCCACTCCAGGCACAGGCAGCAGTGGAGTCTCCAAAAGGCACAGCCGGAGATACTCCCCTGGACTTTGGGATGACCCAACGGTGCTCTGCTCCCTCTGAGGGACTGCAGCTCCCAGGGCATGTGTAATTCCACCAGGAGCTGAAATCCTGCGGGAAAGCTGAACCTATACCCTCTGGCTCTCCAAAAGCCACACTTCACCACCTGAGCCCACAAACACCAGACTGAGCAAGGCCTTTTCCAGCCGGTGGTGGAGGTGGCAGTGCCATGTAGTGCCATCAAGGTGGTGCACCACAACCTGGTGCAGAGGGACCAGCCCGTCACAGGGTGCTCTGGAGCAGCCACTGACTGCAGGCAGGGCTGGACCTGGGAGTTGCCAGGGCACACGCTGCCCTCGGGGGTGGCCACAGAGGGAGAACCTGCACCCCAGCTACAAAAATGACACCAAAATGGCACATTCTACTGAAAAAACCCCACCCCAAATTGGTTTGTGTTGGTTGCCTGGACAGGGGTGGGGATTCACTGCAAAATGCACAGTGATTCTTTCCTTCTCTGTCCCATCCCGTAAACATTTTAAAAGCACAAAAAGGAAAAATTGAACTTGTTTTTGATCCCTTCACGTGCCCAGCGGGATCTGGGGCTCACTGACCCTTCAGGAGAGCAGCGTGGGACTGAGGGAATGCACATTCCTTGCTTCAAGGGCTTTTTTTGAGCTGATGGAATCAAAACATTGGTTAATCATCCAGAATGTGTCCCGTCACCAACAGAGCCAGGCTTAGCCCCAAAATGCTGAAGCAA